GGCCAGCTATGTACACGGGTAGCAAGGCGTTCAAATTCCTTCTGATACTTCCTTACAATTCCAAGCTATCTTAGTCTTGAAAGGGACTCATTAAAATTATCATATCTTTTGGAGCAAAAAAAAATATGTCATATCTATAAGGGCCAAATCTCATGCATAAGACCTCAGTGAAGTCTAGCCAAGTGGGTTTGAGGGTGGGTCTTATGGTACCATTGGTACCACAAAATGGCCTCTCCATCCATGTGGGTGGAAGCAATGGGCACCCGTTGGTTAGAAGGTGTCTCATGAAACTGAAAATACCGCTTGAACCTATATGTCTAGGGTACAGATTATCACCTAGTAAGAAGGTAAGTCGATCTTGGTCACCTTGATTGGAAAGGCTCCTCCTTGACATCCTCCGTTATTGCTAGAACCCTCTGGCTCCTGATCCTTGGGCACTATAGACATTCATTTCTAACTGACCGGCCAGAGCAGCCAAGGTCTCCTTGATGTCTCACAATTCTTCGGTGGTCTGTCAAACCTCACCTCGATCCGATTGATCCGTTCATCCACCGTCTTAGACCTGGTGCTAGTCATCTATTAAGCTCGGCTCTGATACTAGTTGTGATGTAGGAGCTGAAGAGTCAAAATTGGAATTTTATGAAAATTTATGTATTTCTATATTTTTGGACAATAGGGGTATTTTTGTTATTTTTCAATTTTCTATGGGGTTCATTGATAAGGTTTAATTTGTATAGTTACAGTTTGTTTATGTTTAATATTTCAGTCATTGGGTAAGTAGGATTAGAGTTATTGAGTCTTCTTTGAATTGAAATAGGATATGACAACTTAGTTCAAGTCCTACTAGGATTATTGAATCTAATAGTTTGACTCCTAAGACTATTATGAGTATAACAGTTTGACTCCTAGGATTATTATGAGTTTAGAGTCTATATATATGTATGGACGTTTTACTCAAAGGCAATGAAGTTTATTGAGTTTTCTTCAGTTTATGCTAGCTATGGTGAGTGATTCTCATGCCCTTGAGTGATTCTAGGCACCTTGTGAGTGATTCCAGGTATTTTCTCTCTTATTCCTTCAAGAAACCACTACAGCCATCAACAGCCATAAAATTCTGATCCAAGATCCATTCACATTCTCTAAGGATTGGAACTGAGCTGGTCCTACATCAGTTGGTATCAGAGCTAATGGTTTATTCACTATGTTCTCACAAAGTGATCGATTCTATAGGCCTAGGGTATCTTCTGAACAATCTTACAGGTCTAAAATCAATGATGGTTGGGTTTCTAAACCATATGAAGGGTCTTTGGTTGATTTATTTGAGAAGATGGTGGAAGAAAATAGATATAATAATGTTAGCTACGGGAGTAAGGTTTTCAAAAATGTTATAAAAGAAAGAGAAATATCAGATTTCAAACAAGATGATGATCCACAAGCATTCTTTGACTGGGTTTCTGAACTAGAAGAATATTTTGATTGGCATGATATGTTTGACAAACAAAGGATTAGATTTGTGTTTATGAAGTTGACAGGTCATGCTAAAGTATGGTGGAGAGATCTTGAACAACGACTTGAAAGAGGTGATGATCCAGTTAGTACATGGGCAGAGATGAAGAGGTGTTTGCAAGAAAAGTACATCCCATTAGACTTTCATGATGATCTATATATAGAGTTGACTAATTTCAAGCAAAAGAAGAAGCAACAGGTTACAAAAAATAACTTGAAGTCAATGGGAAGAAGGTACAAAATTGGAAAGAAAGTAGATGATTCCTTGCAAGTTGATGCCTATCCTAGAGCCGAAGTTGATGATGAAGCTAAAGAAGAAGAGTGTCAAGCTATAGAAGTTGTAGATATTAAAAAACAACAGGGTTCAGTCCAAGAAAAAACAGAAATTGCTGGAGTTTCCAACACTCATGATCAATTTGAGGTTAATGATCAAGAAGAAATAGAAGTGGAGCAAGTTAAAGAAATTCAGATGCAAGATAAAAATGTTTTGATTGTAGTAGATCCTAGTACGGAAGTAAGTGACTTTACCTTACAAGTCCAACTAGAACTAATTCAAGAATTACAACTTGGCATAGCACAAGTTCCACCAAAATCAACAATGGAAGGAGTCCTAGAGTTTGTTGAAGAACCAAGGATAGCAGAACACAGAGATGGTGATTCCTAAGCTAGAGGTTGAAGGAAAAGTTCCAAATGTTGCAGTTGAAGGTTTGGATAAGTGAGGGGAATATTCATCACAATGGTTAGTTGATGAATTAAGTGTTCAAAAAACGAATGTTATTGATGATTTAATAAAGAGGGTTATGGAAGGAAGTGTTTTAGAAATACATTTCTTTCAAGATCCTTTTCTAGTTCTGTGTGTGACCTCTACTTTACAGTTCAAGCATGTAGCTGTGGGAAGTCCTACTCCTTTTGTAATTGGGGCATATCAAGTTCTTCAAAACTTGAGGATGAGTTTTTTGAACTGAGGGAGAATGATGCAGGAGCTGAAGAGTAAAAATCGGAATTTTATGAAATTTTATGTATTTCTATATTTTTGGACAATAGGGGTATTTTTGTCATTTTCAATTTTCTGTGGGGTCCATTGATAGGGTTTAATTTGTATAGTTACAGTTTGTTTATGTTTAAAATTTCAGAGTCATTGCATAAGCAGGATTAGAGTTATTAAGTCTTCTTTGAATTGAAATAAGATACGAGTATATGACAACTTAGTTTGAGTCCTACTAGGACGTTTTACACAAAGGCAATGAAGTCTATTGAGTTTTCTTCAGCTTATGCTAGCTATGGTGAGCAAGGATCAAAATTTCGATACGAATCGGCCTGTATCAGCTGATACATATCGTATCAGAGCCTTCCCGATACGCCTGTACTGATATTTTCAACCTTGATGGTGAATGATTCACATGCCCTAGAGTGATTCTAGGCACCCTGTGAGTGATTCCAAGTATTTTCTTTCTTCTTTCTCTCCCTATTTTCTCTCTTATTCCTTCAAGAAACCATTACAGCCATCAACAGCCATAAAATTCTGATCCAAGAAGACCATTCACATTCTCTAAGGACTAGAACTGAGCCGGTCCTACATCAAGTTGATAAGACCCTCACTTAGGAGCTGGTTCGAGGGAGCTCACCCTCCTGAAATGGACTGAGAGATGAGGAGAGAAGAAGAAGAAGAAGAAGAAGAAGAAGAAGAAGAGATAAGAGAGGAGAGGAAATAGGGTTTCTCGTTTCCACTATCAATGATTATTACAAGATATTTATACTCTTATGTTGAGAATGGATGGTAACTGCTAACTGATTCTCGCTCAATTCTCCTGACATGGATGGCGCATGTAAACGAACCTCAGGGGTGGCGTCAAGCAAGTGATCCAAGGAGGATTCTGGGTTGGGCCTTGGGTTTGCTAGGCCTGGGCCGTAGAAGTAGGCTGGTCGCCCTACCAGTCCCATCATTTGCAGTGCAGCTTTAGATGGATTCTTCGAGAATTAAATCAAGTGGCTGATAGTCTAGGTAAGTCTGGGCTGGGATGGGATTTTTTGCATAGTGCTCATACATTGCCAATTTAGTGGGCTTTGTCTTTTGTTTTTGTTTTGCTGACAAGGCTTGTACATCCCTCCCATTTTTTGATTTTAATGAAATCAGTTATCTTCTCTCTCTAAAAAAATGTATTGAGAAGAGAAAAACAGGATATTTTCCTAATACAAGAATAAGAATCTAAGTTAGTTGAGATAGAGCATAATTACAATATGGAACAATAAGAGAGGAGTTGGTTGGGAGATGCACAATATTAGTGAAGGTGAGAGAATGCAGAAGATGGATTTGAATGGGTAATGGCTAATGTATATGGGAGGAAGTATATCCGATAAGAAGATTATGGGAGGGCCCTTGGTGCATTCTAGGGCATTTAATGTGATAAGATTTACTTGCAAAACAACTAACCCAAACACAAACATCACAACCAACATATTGAATTTTAATCAATTTATTATTTTGGTGAGTTGAAGGACCTGGTCTTGTTGTAGGCAAGTAATATAGACAAACTTTTAGGAAATATCTATTTACTCTAAATTGGATAGCATCCTTTTTACTATAGATTGGGAGGACCATTAGAGAGGGTTATATAAACATCCTTTGGGGCCCCATCGTTCTTCACATTGAAAACATGTTGCTGAAACATTGTTTTTTATCAATCAAGTCAAACTATAGTGGAATGGAGTGATAGATGCTAGATGGAAGATCTCCCAATTTTGCAAAATACTTGAATATGTAAAGAACAACATAAAAATGTGGAATAAAGATAAGGTGCCAAAAGTCAAAGGTGGGAGTTGAAAATTGAGATGGAGACTTGGTTAAGAATGGAAGAAATAAGTTGGAGGTAGAAATCTAGATGCAAATGGCTGTGACAAGGTGATGGAAACACAAAATATTTTTTCTCATTGGCTAATGGAAGGAAGAGAATAAAAAAAATCATGTCAATAGATTAGTGATAAATGGGGAAGTAATAAGTCATGAAGAAGGGATATCAAGTGCTTTCTATAGACCATTTTATATCTATTTATTGTTGACCTCTAGAGATGAGACAAGTAGTAGAGGAATTGAAAAGGTTGACAATAAATAGGTTGAAATGGAAGCATTAGAAAGTAAATTTGAATTGGAGGAGATTAGAAGGGCAGCCTTCTCCATGAGCAAGGACAAAGCACCAGGTCTAGATGGTTATTCAATGGAAATTTTGCGGGACTATTGGGAAATACTGGAATTTGATTTGACGGAAAATATTTAATGAGATTTATGATAGAGAAATCATCAGCTCCGGTTTAAATGCTACCTTTATAGCATTAAATCCCTAGAGGCAGATAAAATTTGTCAACTTGGTGAGTCGAACAAGAGAGGAAACAAACATTTTAGGGGTGTCAATAGAATGAATTGATCCCCACCCCTAAGAGCCCTTTATATATATATATACAATTACAGAAAAGCCCTTAAAGGGCTAAATCAATGTGAACTAAGTCATATTCAGCCCACAAGTCAAGTTTGCCGCATAATACTCCTGTATCTTCTTATCTCCTTGAGAATAAGCAAAGATTTCAGATTCTATTTGATAATGTCTTGACATGTTAGACTGATGATAAACTTTCTTCATGTAAGTATTCATCTCATTTGCTGTCCTCATTCTCCTCATAGGTACAGAAACATGAGGCACAATAGAAATAAGGATCCAAAAGACTAATTTCCCATTATCAAGCTTCCATTGCTGAAAAGCTTTCACTTCAGTTTCATCTTGTTTAGTAACAGTGCCATTCAAGTAACCCTCTAATCCTTTTCCTTCAACAAAGAAGTCGAAGTGGAACTTCCACATGCTGTAATTAGTTCCATCAAACTTCCCAGGCATGACATCCATTTTTTCAGCCATCTCCAAGAAAGAAACACAGTCCAAAGGGAGAAGACAACACTGAAGTCAATACTTAAAACTGCTAGGCGTCTTTTCCAGGCAGAACAGCAACTTCTTGAACTGATCAAAACAGCCTCTAGAGAGCTCTCAATCCAGCAATCGAAGATGGAATAAAAATCTCTTGAAACACTCTCCTAATCCAATGAATCAAATTTCTTTCACTGCTGATCAAATCACCTACTCTGGTACCATGTGAACTTGGTGATTCAAACAAGAGAGAAAACAATCATTTCAGGGGTGTCAATAGAATGAATCGACCCTCACGCCAAAGAGTCCTTTATATATACAAAGATATGTATAATTACATAAAAGCCCTTACAGGGATAAAAAAGAGAAATAAAGAAAGAATACGTAAGATACAACAGGGACTATGAATAGTACAATACAACTTTAGGACTCTTCACAAAATCGTCCTAAAGATTTTAGGTTGATCAGATTGTACAAGATTATAGTAAAAGCCTTAATATATTTCCATTCATCACTACATAGTTTAAGGTTCCTTTATGCAGGAGAGTCAACTTGTGGACCAAATCTTTTTTTTTTTTGATAAACTTATGGACCAAATCTTGATAGTCAATGAGTGTTAAGAAGTAATGAGAAGAGGAGAATGTTGTTTTAAGACATATTTAGAGTGCTTGCTTTGGTTGATATGGCTTTAGTGAAAAATGATTTGAGGTTTTACAAGTTAACCATGGATATGGCTCTAGGTAGAGTGGAATGACAAAAGTGGACTTGTGTAATGTATGACAGAACAACTGCAGTTGGGATAAGCAGCTATTTTTTTTTTTATCAAAAAAATTCATTGGGTTGATTTTTTAGTATTTTATAGATGATTTTGTAAAAATTTTTGTAACCTTTAGTCAATATTATCTTCATCCTCATTTACAATTTGTCAATCTTAATGTATTCTTTCCCTTACTTTTATAGACACTTGTCAGTTTGTCTAAGCTGACGACTATGCTTCCCCCTTTTTATATTCTGTTACTGTCTATGTATGTTATTTTCTGAATATTTACTGCTTTCATGGCATTATCATTGTTAATTCCCTTGCTTTTGATTTCTTCTATTTTGCATTGATATAGAAATCTTGTACTTAAATGTCATTCTCTTTTAGGTGTTTGCAGGCCCTTAATAAAATTAAGTATGAATTCTATCATTTACAAAGCAAATTCAAGACTGTTATTCAGGTAATAGTTTCATATCTGCTAATAGATAGGAGTTACATGGAACTAGTTTCATATCTCCTAATATTGGGTTATCACAAGCTGAAGTGCTGAATAGGCTGATGTTGGTATAACTTGGATAATTAGATTCCCTCTTTTTTTGGGAGTGGGATCAGTTATGGAATTTTTATTAGCAAGAAAGAAATTTAGAAAATAGTAAGTCTATCAATAGGCAAAAGGAAAAGACAACAATAACAGGCCCAAAAGTGGTGAAACACTAGTGATGCAAAGAAGCAAAAAAACAACTAGGGAGGGATAAACCAGTACCACCCTGCCTCCTTTTTTTTGGGAGGGGGGGGGGGGTCAGAAATGGAATTTTTATTAGAAAGCAAGAAATGTAGAAAATAATGTCTATCAATAGGAATAAGGAAAAGACAAGAAGAGGCCATGAACCAGTACCTCCCTGCCTTCCTATCTGACCTTCAAACCACGAACTGTACATTGAGTGTGAATCAAATCAAATGGTGAACACTATAAAATATAAATGTTTTATATTTTGTTACAAGAACACTATAAAGGAAGGAATTTTATTAATCATGGGAAATATAAATGTTTAGCTAGAAAGGAATTTATTTTGTTACAAGAACACTAAAAATTCTCTCCTATCTGCGGGAATTGAATGAGAATGGCCCAACCCAAAACAGGTTGGAAGCAGTTAACCTGAATCCAGTTCCAAACAGTCAAGCCCTTAACTGAATCCTGGTCAGTCTAATCTTATGTGATGAATCCACATGCAGTTCACTTGGATTTTCAGTCTGGATATTGGGTGGGATACTATAGGAAATACATGAACGCTTGGATATACCCAGTCAAGAATTTTTTTTTTTTGATAAAAGATAAGGTAAAATTTTATTCAAATAAGCCAAAAATGGCAGATTACAACCAAGGCCCCTAAGACAAGGAGCCGAAACTCACTTTAACAACTACAATACATCATAACTCAAGAAAATTCCTAGATCTCAGCTGAGAACAGAGGACTGAAGCTTGAAGGTCCTTCGCCGCAGCCACCCAGGAAACTAGCTTGCCAAAAGCAAAGGCAGTCAAGCAATCTATGCTAGAGGCCTTATTTTGAAAGATCCTTCCCGTTTCTTTCCGTCCAGACTGTGCACAAGATGGCTGCAGGAAGGACACTCCAAATGTACTCTGCCAATTTTGAACCACCCTTCAGCTCCCAACTCCATATCATGCCCAGTACTGAATAAGGCATTTGCAGCCCTAACCCTGATAAAAAGTGGTTCCATATTGTGGCTGTAACCGAACAGTGGATGAACAGGTGCATACCATCTTCATCCACATCTCCACAAAGAACACATAGCTGGTCCTGAATCTGAACACCCCTTCTAACCAGGGAGTCTTTCGTAAGGCATCTATTGAGAGACGCAGCTCAAACCAAAGTATTCACTTTTGAAGGCACAGAAGGGTTCCAAATCTTCTCAGCTGGAATTTTTGGATGCACAGCTTCATTCAGAACCCCCGCAAAAGAGCTAGCCGAGAAACTACCATCCACACTAAACTTCCAGTTCCAAGAGTCCTCAGAAGACAAGTCAATGGACTGCCTGTAAAGCAACTACAAGAGATTAGCAACTTTCCCAATTTCCCAGTCCTGGAATGACCTTCTAAAGGAAGGGCTCCAAGTAATAGTGCCCCCACTCACTTCAAACTAACTAGCCACCGATCCATTCTGATTTTCTGCAATCTGAAACAGCTGAGGGAAGACTTCAGCCAGACGTCTACTATCACACCAAGTATCCTTCCAGGACCGCAAATATTCCCATTCCCCACCTTTGGAATTAGTCCACTACTCATCCAAGGGAGTACTTCCGTGATTTTTTTCCACAGGGAGCAACCTAAAGGATCAATTGATTAGTGGTTACCCAGTCCCCACTGTCAGTATCATATTTTGCTGCAATTAATTTCCTCCACCATCTGTCTTCTTCTTTCTCAAATCTCCAAATCCATTTTCCCAAGAGAGCTTTATTAAACAATTTTAGCTTCCTGATCCCCAACCCCCCTTTATCCTTAGGGCCACAAACCTGATCCCAGTTAACCAGATGAAATTTCTTTTCCTCCTCCCAACCCCTCCAAAGAAAGTCTCTCTGGATTTTCTCAATTCTTTGAGCTACTTTGACTGGAATTGGGAAAAAAGATAAAAAGTAGGCCGGAAGATTAGAGAGTGAGCTTTTTAGTAATGTGATTTTTCCCCCCAGCAACAGATACTTGGATTTCCAAGACATAAGCTTCCTCTCCACTCTCTCAACCACTGGATCCCACACCACCGCAGAGGTACATTTAGCTCCAAGAGGGAGGCCAAGATAGGAAATAGGCAAATATCCAATCTGACCAGGTAAAATCTCCGTGCGCTCTTCAATATTCTCCACTTTGCCCACCAGAATCAGTCTACTTTTGGTCCAATTTACTCTCAAACCCGAGACCACTTCAAACCAACTAAGCACCCCCCTTTAGTTGATCAACATCCGCATCAATGAAACACAGAGTATATTCGGCAAACTGTAGGATCTGAACACTTTCCCCACCCGGAGAGACCTCAAAACCCTTCCATAGACCCTCAACCCCCACCTGCACAAATAGAGTTAAAACTTCCATTACGCATATGAACAGAAGAGGGGAGAGGGGATACCCTTGTCTTAATCGTCTAGAACTTTTGAAGAATCCCATGGATTTCCCATTAAGCAAAACTGAGAACTTTGGAGAGGAAATACATACCTTAATCCAATTTCTCCACTTCTGTCCAAAGTTCATTTTCTTTGCGCCAAGTCCAAACACTTCCAGTTTACATGATCATATGCCTTTTCCAAATCCAGCTTACAAAGCAGCCCTGGTTTACCTTCTCTTATTCTTGAGTCAATCAACTCATTTGCCACCAACACACTATCCAACAGCTGTTTACCCGGCGCGAATGCAAATTGATTCTCCTCAATGATCACACTAAGGACCTTCTTCATTCTTTCTGCAAGGGCTTTGGATAGAATTTTATAAAAACTATTTAGCAAACTAATTGGCCTGAAGTCTTTAATGTTTGTTGCATCTTCCACCTTTGGAATGAGGGAGATGAAAGTGTTGTTCAAACTTCTAACCAATGATCCATTTTGGTGAAAGTCATGGAACACCTTCAACAGATCCCCTGGGGATTTTTCAGTCAACACCTCCCAACACCGTTTATAAAAAGTGTTAGTCAAACCATCCGACCCTGGGGATTTTTCAGTTTCCAAATTTTTAATTACCTGCCATATCTCATTTTCTGTGAAGGGCGCTTCTAACTCCCTCTATTGATCCACCGAAAGACTTTTGAAGTTAAGCTCTTCTGGAAAAGGCCTTCTTGCCCAGTTCTCTTTGAACAACTCTGAGAAAAAACCAATGATTTAAAAGGTGCGCCTAGGCGCTCAGGTGAAGCGCATTTTAGGGTAGGCGCCTCGCTTGGTGCTCCTAGGCGTGTGGCTTGCGCCTTAGCCCAGGCGTTCGCCTTTTGAAAATTTGTTGCTTTTTCCCTTTTTTGATTATGGCCGTTGGGCCGGGGGCTCTGCCCCCAGACCCCCGTGCCACTCCCCTCGAGGCCAGCCCAAACAAGTCCATGTTAGGGTCTTAAATTCTCTTCTTAAAAGCAAGTTAAACTATAAAATTATTATTTTGTGTGTGAAATCTAAGAATTTAAGACCCTAACATGGACTTGTTCGGGCTTGCCTCGAGGGGCGTGGCACAAAGGCAGCTTGTAGAATTAGGAATGTAATATATCACATTAGCTACTTGATGCAATTGAGAAAAAAAGAGATTGTGGGTTTTATATGCTTGAAAATGTTTTATATGTTTGATTTCATTTTTAAATTCTCATTTGTATATGCTTTACATATTATATTTATGTATTTTAATTTTAGATAATAGGTTTTTTGAAACATTTATTTAAAAACTTAAGCTAATATATTTATTAATATTATGTTTTATAGTTTTTTTATTTTTTTAATTTTTTTTTGCATTTTTTTGAATTTTTTTAATTTTTTTCGAATTTTTTGCATTTTTTTAAATTGTGTGCCTTGCCACAAAAAGGTGCGCGCCTCACCTTGCACCTCAGGCACAAAATGGCACTTGCGTGTTGCACTTTTAAAACATTGGAAAAAACCAGTGACAATGTGTTTCATTTCTGTCCAGTCTTCACCCACTTGCTCTCCCCATTCAAGTTTCTCAATTTGATTTACTTTTTTCCTTGCTTTTGCCATTTTGTGAAAGAAACTGGAGTTTTTATCTCCTACTTTAAGCCATTTAACTTTGGCTCTTTGCCGCCACTTTAACTCCTTGTAAGCTAATGAATCTAAAGTCACTTTGGCTAGAAGTCTCTTCCTTCTCTCTCCTTCTCTAAGGGGTCCCACTTCTTCAGCCGAATCCAGTTCTTTAATTACCTCCAGGCACTTTCTTTTCTCTGTTTCCATTTTTCCTTGAAGGCCCACTTTCCAAGATTTCAGCACCTCTTTGATCCCTTTAATCTTATTTGCCAAGATGTAAGAGCTGGTACCCTCCACTTTAAAATCCGCCCATTTCAACATAAGCAGAGGAATCAACTCCTTTTCTTCGAACCAAGCATTTTCCATCTTAAAAGAGGGTTTACTTCTCACCTGATTCTCCACCTTTCCACATAGTAACTGAATTGGAGAATGATCCGATAAAGGTCTAGGAAGAGCAACTTGTTCAATTTGTTGGAATGCCTCTTCCCAACTCAAGGAGATTAAAAATCTATCAAATTTAACTAGAATCGTGGATTCTTGGTTATTTGTCCAGGTGTATTAATCCCCCATTAGAGGCAAATCTAAAAGATGAAAGAATGGTAGGATCCATCTAATGGACGCCATAAAGGTTGCGGAATGGGTGGGGCGAATTTCAAAATTTTCTACCTCTCAACTGGGAATCGTATTCCCTAGATTTAGAATACAATATTCAAGGATCCTACTTGAACCATA